AATAATAATAAAGAAATATAATTGACAATAAATGGGTAAATGATCTCAATTTTCATTAAAAAAAAACCAAAAACTAAGGGTTTAAGATCAATTTTATTTTATTTTTTTCGTTTATTTTTAACATGTCTATTTAATATGTTTTTTACATATTTTTAATTTCTGTTTCTAAAACAAATAAATATGTTCTTGAAAACACTAAAAATAACATTTAGGTGTCTTGAATTCCAAAAACAGTCATATCTTAAACAAATGTACTAATAAACTAATAAGAATAAAAATTAAAATTAAAATTGATCCCAAATGACCCCTAAATTTCTTCTTCTTTTTTCAATGTGAGATCCCTCAAGTACTGCAAAACTGAAAATTTAAACTTACCAATTTCATCAATTGCTAAAAAGCATCAATGAGATCACTGAAAAACAAGATAGCTACCATCAGCAACTATAAAAAGCAGAGTGCAGGGGGGCGGCACCTCCTAAATTGTCCAATTTCAAATCCAGATTCATGAAGTTTATAATGATATACTTAAAAACACTCCAAACCAATTTCAAACTTATATCAGTTTATCATTTTAAACAACAAAACAGTTTAATTCCTAAGGTTCGTATCTTCTCCTATCTGACTTGAATAGCCTTACTTAACAATGATCCAACGTGAAGGTGCATAAGGCTTATGATTGATAAGTAGCAAAGACAAGGGATTAAGATTTCTATGGAATGACAAAAGAAAATTAACCTTCCGTTACTTCTATGCCTTAAACACTAAATTAATGCATTGTTTTGGTCACGAGAAGAATACAGTAGCTAGAATAACAATATGCCAAATAGAAAGACAGATTAGCAATAAGACAGCCATTGAATGGTTTTGCGACTATATGGGGAGGAAAGTGAAACTGAAATGGAAGCCAATTTAAGCATAAAAAAGGGCACAAATTCACCCCCTTTGGAAGTTTTTCTTATCATTGTAGAGTGCATGGAGTCATTTATGATATATCTAAATAATATTACTATCCCAAAAGAATACCACCTAGGGGGATTAATTCAAGTTGATGGGTCAAGTTGAGATGAAACCCCATGTAGACCTGACCCGAAACCCATTTACTAAGTGGGACAAAATATTTGACCCAAACAAACTTAACCAAACCTACCTGCCTAACAATTTTATTATATCAATCGTGTAATTTTTTAGATCAACGTAACTCACCTAAATATGATGCATTTAATACAATTAATCTGACTTCAATTTGTCAAACCTGAACCCACATAATAATTGGGTCAATTTCTGGTTGATTTCATTTATTTGAGTTAAATCAAACCCAACTTAAACAAAAATCAAGCACAGTTTAGAGACAAAAACCCACCCAGAATAATATTCAAGTTAACTCAAACCCATATTTTTCAAGTCATCTTCATGTCAAGTTGTCCATAAGTCATTTATTAACACCTCTAATAACACCGTGACTAATAAGAATGCCATCTTAAAGAGATAAATACAAATTATTAATGTTTCTTAATTAAGTAGGAGATTAGCCTCCAGCCAAACTTGTTTGGACAAATTTGGAATAGGCTAATGAAAATTTAGAAAATAATTTTTATCCAATTTAGACGAGATAAGTTTTAAGTGATTTTAATGGAATAAGATTGACTAGCTTTTGGTGAAATGTAAGCATAGATAGGTTTAACTGAGGAGAGTTTTCAGAATGAACATATTGAAATCTAAAACTTATACATTTGAATTAGATATTATATATGTATATACATATATAATATCTAATTCAAATGTATAAGTTTTAGATTTCAATATGTTCATTCTGAAAACTCTCCTCAGTTAAACCTATCTATGCTTACATTTCACCAAAAGCTAGTCAATCTTATTCCATTAAAATCACTTAAAACTTATCTCGTCTAAATTGGATAAAAATTATTTTCTAAATTTTCATTAGCCTATTCCAAATTTGTCCAAACAAGTTTGGCTGGAGGCTAATCTCCTACTTAATTAAGAAACATTAATAATTTGTATTTATCTCTTTAAGATGGCATTCTTATTAGTCACGGTGTTATTAGAGGTGTTAATAAATGACTTATGGACAACTTGACATGAAGATGACTTGAAAAATATGGGTTTGAGTTAACTTGAATATTATTCTGGGTGGGTTTTTGTCTATCTATATCAATATCTATATATCTATGTATTGGAATATTGATATGTATGTATGTATGTATAATGTATGTATGTATATCTATATATCTATATCAATATCTAGATATACATACATATTGGAATATTGAAATTTTAGATATAGATATATAGATATAGATATAGATATAGATATAGATATGTATGTATGTATGTATGTATGTATGTATGTATGTATGTATGTATGTATGTATGTATGTATGTATGTATGTATGTATGTATGTATGTATGTATGTATGTATGTATGTATGTATGTATGTATGTATGTATGTATGTATGTATGTATGTATGTATGTATGTATGTATGTATGTATGTATGTATGTATGTATGTATGTATGTATGTATGTATGTATGTATGTATGTATGTATGTATGTATGTATGTATGTATGTATGTATGTATGTATGTATGTATGTATGTATGTATGTATGTATGTATGTATGTATGTATATTAATGTATTGGAATTTAAAAAAACATGGATTATATAATTCAAATATATAGATATATAGAGATATATATATAATTCAAATATATAAATTCAAGATTTTAATGAATATGCATATATATTAACTAATTCATATGTATAAGTTTCAGATTTTCAATATATTTACATAAATAATACGTAATTTGAATATATATACTCAGATTTTTCAATATATTTACATTTCTAATACCTAAATTTAAATATTAAATTATAGATTTCTTAGACACTTAGGTATTTATATATCTAGCACCTAATTTCAAATATTAAGTTGTAAATTAATCAAATCATAATCTAAACTTTAGAATAAATATGTAGACTATGAATTCTAATGTATTAACATATATAACACCTAAATCTAACTGTATATGTGCAAAATTTATAATCTATTATATGATTACACTTATATAACACCTAAATCTAAGTGTATATGTGCAGATTTTTGTAACCCTTTATATGCTTAAATGTTTAGTACTTGAACTAATATGCCGAATTTCAAATTTTACAAGTTTTCATTTCATTTATATATCTAATATTTCAACACATGTATTAAGTTACAATTTTTTTGAATTTTCATTACAGTTGCGTGTTGAACACTTGAACTCATATGTCGAATTTCAATTTTAACAAGTTTTCATTGCATTTTCATATCTAACATTTAAACTCATACATTAAGTTATAAATTTTCTGATTTTCGTTGCATTTATATGCCTGACATTTAAATTCAAATGCTAAACTCTCAGATTTTACAAGTTTTAATTGCATATACATATCTAACAGTTAAATTCATGTATTAAGTTACAAGTTTTCCGAATTTTATTGTATTTCATTGTCCGACGCATGAGGTGATATGCTAAACTCTCAGATTTTACAAGTTTACATTATGATTTACACATATGACACTCAAACTCACATGTCAAGTTAACTTTTTTTAATTAAATTTTATATATACACTTATATGTTTAACATTTAAAATTAATATGAACTTGTAGATTTTCTAAATTCTTATGTACTTATACATTCAACAAACACTTTAAAATGAATATACAGATTCACTAATTCTTAAGATATTTACATGAATATACGATTCACCAATTCTTAAGATATTTGCATATATAGCACTTATATACAGGATTTTTCAATTCTTAATATACTAACATATATAACACCTAATCTAAACTATATATGTGCAGATTCTCTCAATTTATTATATAGTTACATGTATATCACCTAAACTATAATATATGTGTAAATTTTCTCAATTTTTATGTATTTACATATATAACACCTAAATTTCAAATATATATGTGTAGATTTTCTCATTCCTTATATATTTACATGTATAATATTTAATTTCAAATATATATTTAATGAATACCAAATTTCAAATATAGTTTTATTGTTTTTTTTGTTCTTTTGTGATGATATGTATAATACCGAATTTCAAATAAAGTTTTACTATTTTTCTTGATCCTTATGAGTTTACATGTATATTTAAATTTCAAATGTAAGTTTATCATTTTTTATCATTAGGCATTTACATGTATAATACCTAAATTCAAATGTATTAATCGATTATTTTTATTTTATATGTTTGCATGTATAATATCTAAATATAAAACTCTATATTATCAATTCCAATGTATGTGTGTATGTGTGTCACATCTAATTTGAATATATGTACGCAGATTTTTTTTATGTACTTACATATATAGCACCTAAGCTAAAGAAAATGAGCATACAAAATTTATATTTTCTAATATATTAACATATATGATACCTAAACTTCAGAATAAGTATACAGATTTTCAAAACATAATGTATTTACATGCATAACATTATGTCTTCAGGCCCTCGCCCATTCATGAAAATTTGTAATTTAGCATGTGAGAATCACAAGTTATAGACTGAGTATATCTCATACCAATTTGACCTATACAAATTTATTTTCTATACATGCATCATCAAATTATTATAAACAATCTTGAAAATCAAACTTTGAAATACTGGAAAACATAATCTCAATTTTAATCAATATTTTTTAAGATATTTTATTTCTTAAGAAGTAATTAGTTATAGGGGTGTTCCCTTATAGGAAGTTAGTAACCTGATTAATCTAAAACATTTTTAGTTTTCGGATTAGATATGAGGAAAAATTGTTGGATTAAAACGCGGACACATCAAACATTAAATTAGTTATCGGAGTAATAAAATCCATCGTAAAATTATAGTCTTTCAATATAATATATTATTTTATATGTTGTGTTTAATTATTAAAATAAATTAAACATTCAAAATTTATGAGGTCATTATTAAATATACCTATCATTTGCAAGGTTCCAAGCTTCCTGCCTAAGTTCAAGAGGAGCTCCAAGTGTTGCTAGGTAATTGGATATGAACTTGTGAGGATGTTCTACATGGCAGATAAAACCCATCTCCTTCAGCAAATGTCTCTCCGTTCTAATTAAATCGTTCTTCAAGTCTGAGTATTTCTGTGATCATGGTAGAGAACAAGGCCAGCAATTATAACGACACACAAGTAATGCATCAGAAAAACAAACTACGATTACATTAATTTATTTCTCCATGGTAGCATCTGGCAAAGTCATGTAAATGCCTAAAAAGATAATTGTGAAATGAGATACAGTCAATGCGAACCAAATCCCATTTAACAAAACAGAAACACCAACCTTGGACATGACATCAAGATGCTCTATCGGTAAACCCTCTCTTCTACACTCCATCCGGTGAAAGACCATAAGAATATACTTTGCTTTTCTAGGGCTCTCTTCGAGCTTCGAAGCCAACCAAACACAGCTAGCTGCTACCCTCTACATAATCAAAATTAGGAACAGTGACACATCAATGGATAGAATCCAAAACCTCATATATTCTTTCCATTGAAAAACACATAGCCATACCTTCACACTGAAGCGCGCAAAAGACTTTTTGCAGTAGAACCGGTGGAAAAGGACCTGCCCTGTGGCCATGACTGCTTGAGGTCTATCGGAGTCAAGAACTCGCAAACATAGTAATCAAAAATCGAGTTGTACAACCAACCTAAAAAACAAATCAAACAGGAAGAGTAGAATTAAATCAGATAAAAAAGGATACAATCTGAGAAGAATGCCGCTCTCCTGAATGAGATCGCACCCGTAGATGCGTAACATTATCTCCGTGTCCTCTTGAATGTCATCTTTCCTCGAAGGAGAATTTTTCAGATCTTCATCAGTGAGGTAGAAGTTATCGATTGCAGTATAGATCATTACGAAAGAATAGACGGATCTGACCAAACCAAATATCCTATTGCTGCTGAAACCAACAGGAAGAAAGGGGACGAACTTTGCTCCAGTCAAAAGGAAATCAATGAAGAAATGAAACCAGGTAGTTCTGTGGTGGCTAAATCAGGTAAGCGGCTGTTGGTAGCAAGATAATACCGAGCAGTCGAGCCAACCCCTGTTTGGTATCAAGCGACCAAGCAAGAATACCGAGCAGTCGAGCCAACGCCGACTCGCCGAGAACAAAGAGACTATATTGAATACATATAGAAGTAGAGATAAGAGAACCAACACAAACAACGAACCCTAAGCTCTCGCCGCAGCAAGCCTTTCGCGATTTTGAGAGGAGAAGCCTCGAAAGGGGAAGAGGGGGCCGATCCCGAACGTTTTCAGCGCAGGCTTGCGTCGACGCGGAAATTTAGGCCTCAGAGTAAAAAAAATTAATTTTCTATTTTTTTAGTATGACCCTGCTCAGTACGGCTGAAACACCTAAAAATTAAATTTTGCATCTCACCAAAACTTCCTATCATCATTTTGAAAAGCTAAACATCATCCGAGCACAAAGTACCTTCATTCGTCAATAGTTTAGGATTTTGTATTACTTTTTTGAATCATAAAAGCTTAAGGTTTTTTGTTCATGTTCGCGGATCGAAGTAAAGTAGTGAATTCTCCCTAGCAAGATGGAATCTAAGTCCAGGCAGACGGAAACCGAAGAGATTCATGTGAGAATGGAGAGCGAAGAGTACAAGAAGAATGAAATCCAAAAGGGTTCATCCAGGTAATTTTTATTTTAGTAATTCTACTTTATTGACAAGACTATGTTAAGTGAGTGTAGAAATTCATTCATTTAGTATTTTAGTACAAATCACTCAGGTATTTAGCTCGGACTTAATGTTTTTTGGTAATATTTGAGTAGTATTTTAGTAGTATTTGAGTAATATGTGAGAGTAGTCTTAACTAAATATCACAAGTTCACTCAATATTATCATAATAATGTCAGAATAACAACGAAATAAAATCTGAATTTTAATAATAATATCAAACTAACACCACATAATACTACTAAAATATTACATGAATATTACTTAAATAATATTGTATTAATACCTGAGCAATACCTGAATAAGATTGAATAAAACCTGAATTTTAATAATAATATCAAACTAACACAACATAATACAACTGAAATAATACCAAAATAAACATAAATAATACTATAATGATTTCATTTATAATACATTATTATTTTTAATAATATCAACTAACACCAAATAACATCTAAATAATTCTATAAAAAATACCTGAGTGATACCATAATAATGCTTAAGTATTAGCAAAATAATCTCAAAATAAAACAAGTTTACCTAACCCATTTTTTTCTAAACACCTTAACAAAAAGTAAATAACAACTTAATAATGACTGTATGACCCCTACTATTTTTTTCATTATTTTGTTTTATGTAGGTTTGTGAGCCCAAGGTCCATGAGCTGTAAATGTCGGTCGTCCGTAGTGAGAGATGTGTTCGATAAGGTCAGACCCGTTATATCTGAAGACATCAGGAATGAGCTGAAAATGATGAATGTTAATCTGTTTTTTTGCGCTTTCATATCCCCGAGACAATATTTTGACACTGCAAATATTACAATTTTGGCAACATGAAAAAATAGTATTCATAATAGATGGGAAAGATCTGAGAATAATGTCTGATGAAGTTGCCCTTTTGATTCACAAACCAAATAGAGGAGAAGCATCAAAGTGAAAGAAAGTTTCATCATGTGGTGTGAATGTCTGTCAAATGAATAATGATATTTTGAATTTCGGAACCGGGGAGTCTTCTACCCCTTTAATCAATTGTATATATTTTTTTTGTCATCAAATATTTTTTCCTTCTAGTAATTTCAGTGACTTTACACCTTTGGCGAGAATGTACACACCTTTTCTTCATTTAATTGACATGTTGCGCTCTGTGAATTCCTTATTGAGCAAATTAATGCAGCAGCCATCAAAATAAGGCGGAACTGGTCTTTGTGATATACAAATGGTTTTCTTTTTTTGCTAACGTTTAGTATCCCATACAAACATAAAAAAATATTTATTTATTTATGCAAAGTTGAATATGACTTTTCTTTTACAAAGCTCTGGTTTTATGAGCACACTTCTTTGGTTACTCCTGCCGCTCTTGAGGTTATACTTGGAATATTGAGGTGGCCAACAAATGCAAGTTGAAACTCATCACAGTTGATACAGCTTTTAAGAAGTTGAATACTTAACATGCAAGTTACATTTAGTTATTATTTAAAAATAAAATCTTATGTTTTTTTTTGGAATTTTAATTATAAAGTGTTTCTTTCTGAAATAATTTGCAGGTTCATGATCAATTTTTTAATCTGAAGGAGGATGAACTCAATCTGCTCTCCAATCCAGATGAAGGATTACACGGTCCAGTTCCAGCAACGTAATTTCAAGGCATACCAGAAACACCTGTATCATTTGATATAGGGTCAGTTGTTTCAAGTGGCATTGCCCTGAAGATAATGTACACCGCAATAAATAAAAATATGGAATCAGTAATTTAGCTGCTTAAAGGTCAAGAGAAAGAGTTCACTGAATTTCAAGGAACCCTGAATATGATAATTGTTGGAGTGTCGAGTTTGTATGAGCAAATGTCGATGCTACAAAATAAGATTGATAAATCTGAAAAATAGACAACTGATAAAGCGGAAGAGGTGGGAGTAGATGATGCCCAACCACCCTCCTCTCATGGTGGAAGTCCTCGTGATAATGTATATAATAGGGCAGTCAAAACGACTCGTTGTTTGCGAACAGCTCGTGTTCGACTCGTTAAGAAGCTCGTGTTCTGCTTGTTTGCTAAGTTAACGAGCCGAACACGAACTAATATTTGGTCTTTCTTGTTCGGCTCATTTTGACTCGAAATACTACTAATCAATTATATATATATATATATCTTTGATGAGTAGTATTTTTTAAAAACTTAATCGAGTACAAGGCTACACAAATTTATAATCAATTAAAAGTATTAATGAAGAAGATAAAATAAAAATTATTAAATTAGATTCAAATGATGTTTTAAATCTTGCCCAAATCTTTGACATCTTATGGCTGTGTGATTAGGGTTGTCAAAATGACTCTTTGTTCGTGAATGGCTCGTGTTCGGCTCGCTAAGCAAACAAGTAGAACACGAACACACTTTTTGAACTCAAAATATAAATGAGTCGAATTTGCCCGTGTTCGGCTCGTTTACACCCCTATTATATAATGAGTTGAACATTGAGGGAGCCCACCAATCGTCTCCTGTGGGAGAAGAGGGAGCCCGACAGTCCTCTCCTGTGGGAGAAGAGGGAACCCCACAGTCTGCTCCTGTGGGAGAAGAAGGAACCCAACAAACCTTCCTTATTGATGGCTCCAATGAACGATCTATTGTCAGCTTAATCTAAAGGGTTAAGGGCAGACGAAGTAGAAGAAAAAAGAAATTGAGTTATCATTTCACTACTTTCGAATCGAAGAAAAGAAAAATAATAAGGGAAGTCGATGAGCCGATGTTGTTTGATGAAGATGTCATTGTAGATACAAATGTAGGTGAGGGTGACATCCAAAAAATAACAGAAGAACGAATAATAGACCCTGAGGCAGAGATGGGCCTGCAAATAATTATATCAAATGTTGTACATATCGCCCTCATTGTAGAGGAACAACAAATAATTGAAGAAAAAGTAGTATAAGGATTAGTAGTTGTGACACTAATAACTTTAGGAGATCAACCAGATGATGTCATGATGGTATTTGAAAATGAGTTTTTATACATTGTTTTATATTTTTTAAATTAACTATATATTTCAAAAGTGTGTTTTTTTAGCCCCTTTCAACGGACTCATAGATTGATCCTGGTAGATCTATGATATCCACTGAAACGCAGGCAGTGATCAATCAAATTATGTCAAAATACATTAATAAGTGATTAAATCTTAAGCTTTTATAATGCATTGCTTTTGTCCTAGATAAAAGGATCACAAAGATTTTTTGTTATTCTGTAGGGAGGATATTATGTTACACTCTAGAGACATTTTTATAGAGGCAATGGAAGAATTATTGTGCAATGACATGATTGCAAATAACTATGTTGACGCCCAAGCCATGATTTTGAATAGAAAGATGAATGCTACTCCATCTTTTTTCAGGCCTTATCGTTATGTATCGTCATTATATCGAGTAACCATCAATTAAGTATATTTAAAATTTAAACAACTATATGAATATATTAAAATTTTGTCTTCTCGGGTGGAGTTATCATAACATGGGTAACATCGCATCATTTGTGTGTCACATCACGAAGGAAGCAGTTCAAGAAGCTGATATTATTTTGTTTTCTGTTGTGAACAACCAACATTGGGTATTGTTGGTTATGGATTTAAATGATATAAAGTGGAAAATATATGATTCATTGCCCAACCATATGCACAAAACTGTGTGCACCGACGTTGAAATTATATTCTCAATCGTTAAAGGTATACCCATGCAATTTCACCAGTTTTGTCCATGCACAGATTAGTATTAAATTTTGTAGATAAAAAATTTTGCAAGAGATGTTGAAAGTTGTTTTAGGGTTAAACCTGAGAAATGACTACTCTAAATCGTTAAAAGTGTTCCAGTCTAAAGCAATAGTGTTGATTGTGGCATGTTTGTATGCAAATTTATGGAAAAATTAGTAAAGACCTACATAAATGATTGGAGTGAAGACGTGGGTTGGCAAACATACATGTCAAGATTTAGGGCAGAGCTAGCCCATGAAATTTGTTTGTGGATATTGTCTTAAAGTTTAGAGATTTATTTGCACTGTTCATTGTTATTAGAATTTATTTGTTTTATTATTAGAATGTTGGTATATAATGTGTGCAAATAGAATGTTATAATTCATAATGTACAACCTTCTAATGTCTTCCCTCTACTTGTTTCATTCTGATTGTTTTTAATAATATAATTGTTATTTTCCCTCTGCAGGAATATTATGACAATATTATAGTAATATTCTTGTCATATTATGACAAAACTATTTTAATATTAAGATAATATAAGTAATTTTTTTCTTTTGCAGGAATATTATGGTAATATAACTGCTATTTTCCCTCTGCACTTGTTTCATTCAAGCTGTTTTTCATAATATTTTTCCTATGCACTTGTTTCATTCTGGATGTTTTTGATAACATAGCTGTAATTTTCCCTTTGTTATGGTTGTATTCTTATAATATTGTGGCAATAATGCCCTAATATTAAGAGAATATGACTATCATTATCTCTCTGCACTTGTTTCATTCTGGTTGTTTTTGTCTAATATTATTGTAATATTATGTGTAAAATTACTATTATAACTTATAACAGTAATATTACTAA